TTATGGTTAATGTAATAAAATGTAACAGTGCATTAACATTTGAAGCTGTTAGAGTTTTCCCCTCTAAACTTCTCAGTCTTCACAATTTCAAGGATACTGGTTAAAGCATCTATATCATCAGGAGATGATTCAGTCATTCCAAAAGCAGAAGATAATCTGTGCACAAATAAACCACAATTGGCTGTTGCCTGTAAGACAGCAATGAGGGTATGAGCAGCTTTAATAATCGCTACAAGGGCATCAGGGCGGAAGATGGACCGTTCACAGACAGGAAATGCCTGTACATCATTGTGCTTTTTGATCTGTAAAGTCAACAACAGTTTTTCCGCTGGATCAAATACTCATTCCCAATCCTACACCAAAGTAAACAAACAAATAATAGGCCTAATAATGATAATAAATATTACCAAGGCATCATAAAATCACTAATAGTACAAAGTGTAAAGCAGAACATTTTGCAATATCTGAATTCTGCACGAAAACAGCAATATCTCCTGTAAGCAGGTCTGTATTGCTGGCAACAAAATGACCCTTCAAAGATTCAGTTAATGTAATTTATTTTCGAGTTGTATTTATTTGCATTGCTTAAATATACTGTACATAGCTGCTTGAAATCCTGCAAATGAACAGCAGGTGGCAGTGTAAAACCAGAGATTATTGCACCTGACAAAAACAGACATCCAAATAACAGCACCATCTTATGTTAATGGACTATAATGATACTCATAGCCTACTATATAAATAGTTCATTTTCTGTTTTTTGGAGTAAATATTTTTATGTTACAGGGAATATTGTCACAGAAAACAAGCTGAATTTAAAAACAATTTTACAGTCACCTAAACTCCCATATTGATGTTGCAAATATTGGAAGTGTGTGCCCTCTGAATGTAACCCTCTGACCCACTCACTAAATATAGAAAAAAGACAGTAGTATAGGTTGCTACGCAATCATTCCTGTGCTGAAAGGTCCCTTCTTGCTGCCCTTTGCTGCATCTGTTAGAGAACTGTATATTTCCATTGTTTTATGAATGCAGTGACACAGGAAAGAAATATACTGGTTTGTAATGTTTTTTCCCTGAGAACAGACTCAATGAGTTTTTTTCTGTGATAGTAATTTCCCTGCAAGAATATTTCATATGTATGCATCACAATTGGAAAAAAGTCTGGGCAGACATGGAAGGATTAGTGAACGAGCTGACTGGGCATAAGCCCAATAGTAACAAAAGGTCAAGGAGCCTTTGTCTGAAGTGACTGTTAAAAATTCTTATTGTAAAGTCAGTCAAGTGACTACAAAGAGACGCAAAACAACCACAAAAAGAAAACAACAGACAAAGAAATACAAAACTACTAGAAGAGATGCAAAATGACCATAAAAACTATAAGAAAGATTCTTAAAATGATCACAGAGACTATACATAGGCACATCATTTGTAATTGTTTTGTGTCTATTTCAGTTTGGGTGTCTTGCTCCTCTGCAGAAGGGGTGGGGGGCTATAACATGTCTGTGCCCAGGGGCCCATTGTCTCATAATCCATCCATGTGTGCAGGAAATAGTAATATTTAGCATCTTCATGCTTCAGTCAACTGAGGTGAATCTCATTCTGAGCCAAATTAGTGACACCATTACTGTGTCACAATAAGTAATATTAGAGGTGTTGTTCATTGGCAGCTTTATTTCCTGTGGAATGTAGATGTTGTACGTAATGCCCTTTTTTTTTTTTTTTCCTCCATGCATCATTTGTACTGTGAATGTATATCTTTCACAATATGAATAATGCACTATAGTGTAGGTTTTTTATCCACTCATTTATTCTGTCTCAAACTCATGAGCTCTGTTCCTGCAAGCTTGACAGACAGGTCTAACACCAACCAAGCTATTTAAGGTGTTGAAATAAGTACAGGATATTAAAGCATATCTGCCTGCAGTATTATAAAAAAAGACCAACACTGAAATTACACTGCAAATTTCTTCTACATAAAAGAAGATTATAACAGGATGAATAAACAGAACAAGTTCATGTTTTATATTCTTCTGTATGAGTGTTGACATCTACAGTATATCAAAAAACATAACACAGAGATTACCACTGTATTGCGGTATCAATAAAACAAGTGTTGTTGGGTTTTATTAGTTTAAAATGCAGACAAAGCCTCATAAAGAAGATAGAATATTGAGACGCAAGATTGTTCCATGTAAAATTTGTTTTCAACACTTTGATTTTCATGATTTAAGTACATACAACGTAAAAACTGTTAGATTTTTCTCTTTGAAATTTAGTTAAACAAAATATATTATTTGCTCAAATGTAAATACCTTAAAAGGCACTTCAAAAGATAGGCCTTTAATGCTCAAATACATTTTTCCCTCTTAGCACATAATTCAGTCATGTGAAGTCTACCTTATCTTAACTGCTGGATTATTATAGAGTTTTAGCTGAACACAGAGAAAGCAGTTCACAGTAGTAAATTTGTTTTTATTTGTGCAGAGTTACAATACACCAGCAATATACCCAGAATAACTAATTCTTGTTTATCTCAATGCAAATATAAGTGGAGATATTAAGAGCATACATGCAGACATATGATGCATCGTTATAACCCTATTCAGCGACAGTGGACCAAGAAGGGACAGAATAAATTCCAAAAATACGGCCAAATGTGAATTCTTATTGATATTTTAAATCATTATTTAATATATGTGATTGAGGGCAAAGTATTATACAAATCCAGGTTGTATTAGTGGATGTTAATGTGAGCCATTGTAACACATGATCTCAACATTTACTACTCAAGATAAGTAATACACAGGTTGGATAGATAATGGCACTCCAAGTCTTAAGTGATTCAAAGAAATGCTAATGTATACTATATATGGCTGTATATTGGTCATAACTGTCACAGTTTCTTTGATGGATATTCTTATCTTGAAGTAACCTTCTGCGAGTGTCAAAAACCTGCTCTTTGAAGATTCCCACAGAGCTCCCAACCCCCTTCCTTGCAGCTATTATTAGTGTGCTTGTGAAGCAAGACATTTCTTCTCCTGCTAATATTTCTGCTACTTATTGTTCTTTCACTACCTCTGTAACTTAAGCATATTTAAGATATATGTCTACATTTTAACTTAAAGCTGGAAAGATTCCTCTGGATGTGCATGCAATTTCTCTCTCTCCTCTCAGAGTTTTATATTGCATACTGAAGATTGCAGCTGACACACATTCAGCTTTGGATTTCATTAAAAAAGCTGCAGCCAAAAGTGTCAGCGGGGCTCCTCAGAACAGGAGTGGGACTTTAAGAACCAGCTTGAGGTTCAGATAGGGAGGTGGCTCAAATTCCCAGACATGACGATCAGAAGGAAACGGCAAACTAACAAAGCAGGAGAGGATGAAGTTTCACATCCTGGTGGCTGAGTGACTTAAGATACTCAGATTAAACCAGTATAGTAGAAATGAATGTATTAAACCAAAAAAGACTCATTGTACCTGGAAAAAACACAATGCTGACAACAAACAAACCTGTCATATTAAGTGTGTTTGTATTGTAATTTGTGTTCTCACAGTTGCTGTCCACTTTGCCAGTAACATTAGCTGCTCACTTTGGTCTTCATGAATTTAATGGTAATGTAACAGGCTCTCCTGTGTTTGCTATGTGTTATGCTTTTTGAGGTGTGTCCCTTGAGAATTACTGTAGGGCTGCCGTAACATGTTGGTTGTTGTTGGAAACTGTTTTGGGGTCATGTGGAGTACAGAAATGAAGAGAGGTGTGGTACCTTGTCTCTATGTCCGATTTCCAACTTATCCCAATACTTGAAACAGACAAGCCACCTAGCTATAATGAGGGAGCTAATCTAAGAAAACAACAGCGCAAACAACAAAGACACGATAAAAGAACACTACAGCGGTCCGTAGAGGTAAAACACCACTGCCACACAGATAACTGAGTGTCTTCGCCTAACTGTGTATTTAATATCAAAATAACAAACAGGACATGAGATGGAGTACGGTTAGCAGTAGCTACACTTTTCTTTATTTCTATACTTCATGCGTTTGGACATTAGGCTAGTATGAGCTGTAAACTTTTGGATCTTAGAAAGGTAGCTTTAGCTCTTATAACCTCTTAATATTACAAGGTTAGCTTTAGCTACCAACTCTTGAACAAAGGGTAGCATTAAGCTACTTTAGACAGTGCCTTTAATGTTAGCTGCTAACTTTGGTCTTCATCAATTTAATGGTAAGATAAAAGGAAAACATGTTAGTAACACTAGCTACTAACTAATGGAATACAAGGCTAGGCTAGCTGGCTAGATGGAGTAATGCAGTGCCACTAACATTAATCAGACACTAATGACTAATGGCGAGCAATAGCTGGTGAAGTTCTATATTTTGGACATCATAAGGTCAGCATTAGCTGCTAAAGTTTTAATGTTTGGACATTATAATGCTAGCATTAATAGCTACCATTGGAAGTTTTGCTGCTATAAGAAGGATGGACATAAGAAGGATGGCATGAGCTGTGAACTTTTGGATTTTTCAAGGCTAGCTAACTTTGCAATCTTTATATGAAAAATTCATGTCACACTGAAAAAAAATATTCACTGACAGAAAGACAGAAAGCAAAATGACATTAATTTAACATGTATTGTTCATTTAATCACTAGTAAATATGATAACAAAATGTGTGTGGTTTAATGTTATTTCAAGAATTTCAGATTTTCCATACAAAGTAGCCCAAACCATAAAAACCATCCCCAGAGCAGAAGTATATTTAAGTATGCAGACACAATGCACACTGTGTCTGCATATTTCTAGCCATTTAGTGTATTTCACCTTTTCTTTCTCTCTCTATGTGATTTTTGAAACTGAAAACCAAACAGAGTTTAAAAAGGGTATGGGTTTGGTTCTTACTTTAAAATTTTCTTTACAATTTCACCTTCGTCACTGCTGTAAGAACTACAACATCCAGCAGCCTCTGACTCTGCGCAGACTCAATAGCAGCCTAAAGATGGTGTCTGCCAGGATGCATCCGTGTGTTAGCAGTTTTACTTGTATTTATTTTTCTGTTTTTTTCTGATTTCCCCACCGAGGAGAAACGTTTCAGAGAGGAAATCCCGGAGGAAGTCTCGCTTATTGGTGAGTTTACAACACAAAACGAAATATAACATAACAACAACCTCAGCTAACGGAGTTAACGTTAGTTCGCTTTATGACTTACTAATTATTCACATCAGATTTGTGTATTTATTAAAGTCGTTTTCTTTTCTCGAAATCACTGAAACGTTGCGTACAAACGGGGTTATTTTGAGTACATGGATGTATATTAATACATCCATGGTGGTGTACTAACAGTTGATTGTGTAAATGTTGATAGCCAATCACATCAGCTGTTTTTGTGTGATTTCTGAATGTCAACTGATCCATAATCACATCATGATTAGCGTAACCTCGTGGTGAACATGTTGACCAATTAAATGCTGTTTTTAAACAGTACTCTCACTTTTTTTGCCTTATTATTCTCCAAAGTATTGTACATAGCGGTGGGACAGTAAGTTTTTCAGGGATAAAAAGTCCTCATAGTCACAAATCAGGGGATTAAAATTCTAAAACTGTAATGATTTTTTTTTTTATGTCTGATGTAGATAGGGCTATCTGTTGTTTATATCTGAAATATATAATTATTTACAAATATTAAGGAAATCAGAGTTAAGGTAAAAGGGAAACAATATATCAATGGATGAAATACAATAACAGGATTATTATAAAGACAAGACCATTTAAAAAATGTTATGTTATTTTTTCTTCATTTGTTTTTAATCAAATAACAATGTTCCAGCTTTTATTTGGATGAAATATGATCACTTTATGCAGTTTAATGCACATTAACATCTAACTATTAAGTGTTCACAAAGGATCTTTGGTCCTTATCTTTATCATAAAATTTCTCCCCATTTGCTTCACTTGCATCCTGTCCTCATGTCTCAGTCCCTCTCTTAAAATAAGAGATGTAACATTCTTTTCTCCGACCCATCATCTGAGGCATTATCAGTTCCTGGTGACGACAGCACAGCTGCATAACAGCTGGATCAGCTGTCAGTATGCAGGTGTTAAAAGAGCTTTTTATGCCTTGGAGTTTGTAATTGCACAGATAAAATGACACACTGTCCAAATAGTAAGTACAGCCAGCGCAGCAGTGTAGGGACATCCTCCAACATGACAAAAATTGTCTGTGAAGAAACTGTTTGACAGCAGCTGCATTCATTAAAAACCTGTATATTTTATTTATATTGTGCACAGATCCATCAAACCACAGCTTAATAAAGTTACAGCTCAGACTTTGAAAGCTAATGAGCTAACAGAGCTTTATTTATTTTTTCCATACTTGCATATGCATTAATTGATTGATTTTCTATTTGTAAATTCATTATGTAATTATCCAAGTTATGACGAGAATGTCTCCTAATTTGTAGAAATTATTTAGTAGTGTCTATGTTTTCGTGAGAGTGGAAAATATGTAAATATCAAAATATTTTCTCTATGTGACGACCTGATAAAAAGCGATGTTTAATTAAAAAGTTTTCACAGCTGAAAGACAACAGACTCTGAGGTGAGTCAGGACACAAATAAAATCTAAACTTGGGGGTGATGTTTCAGCTGAGGTGAATCTGCTATTTTTCCTGTTATAAAACTGCAGTGATTTATCAGATCAGTCTGACCAACTGCAGTGTCCAATCGCTAACAGATTTCTAATAAAGGTGTGTGTTGCTCTGATAAGTTTTCAGACTGATAAATACATGTGTAAATTCTCTGAACAGACTCATTTTTCAAAAACATTAATACTGCAGCTTCATGCAGAATGCAGGCGAAAAGTGAAAAAGCAGCACTTACACATTTTGCCACCACTGCTGACATAAGCCTAATAACCATACAGTGCATTCAGAATTCAGTATTCAGACCCCTTCACTTTTGTCACATTACCCCATAATGACAAAGCAGAAACAGAATGCAAATTTATTACAAAGGATTAATGAGGGAGGAAATGAGTTGTAACTGATTGATCTGTCAAACAGACATCTATAAGTATTCTTTACTAACAGGTGCTTCTGCAAGCCCATATCATTGCTTCAAACACTGTTGTTCTAGTTATATATTTTTTTCCATGTTTTCCGAATTTATCAGGTATCACAGGACTTTCAGCAGCTTTATCCCAAGGCAGCCGAAAAACTTTTTGAAAACTGGGCTGTTTTCAATGATGGAATTCTTACATATGCCCAGCGAGAGGAAAACTGCACTTAGTGCTGGATGACATGACACCAGGTAAGCTATTTCTTACAGTGATATCTCATAATCTATATAAAAAAAAAAATGAGAGAAAAACAATTGAAAGACAGTTTAGATGTTTTTGGAATTAGACTGTATTTCAGACGTTTCTAACATGGTATCAGTTGGTAAATGTTTGCTGTCTTGCTTAAGCCTGAGAAACTTGTAGCTGAAGTTTGGCTGTAGTTGACCTGCCTGGAGCATTTGGCTCTTCCATGAAGTGGCTCTAAAAATGCAACTGAATGTCATTTTCAGATTTACAATGTCCAGTCTTTACTCCAGTATCATCGCTGTTGTAGGTAATGTCTCCTCTGCTTCCCTCTGCTTTTCTCTCCTTGTCTTGTCTACCTCCATCTCATCTCATCCAGTTCCAAACTTATGTCCCTCAAACAGCCTATGTAAAGTCGGCAAACAAATTAAATCCTCATGAATTTTAAAACCTGGCACATGAGTATCCACTGTCAGTCACTAGCATGATAAGATAAAACAAAAAAAAAGCTTAAATGTCTGTCTGGCTTGTCATCTCACTCGGCATCAAATATGATACTTTGTAAATTCTAACCAGAATTTAGTCCATTGTAACATGTTCCAACGCTTCTAGTAATTGTAATGGGCTACACAATCAACACACTTTTGGTACCAATCAATACCAGGGCAGAAAAGTCAGAAATACTGCTTCAGAAGTATCACTTGTCATATACTTTAGCATACTATTTAAATGTTAATGCAACACTTTGTACTATGCTCAAATTGTTTAGTTGCTCAAGATGAGAGAGTTCTGAAGGTCCTGCCAACGCTGCTTCCCACATCCATCTATAAAGAGGAGGGAAAGTCTTCAGACCCACCACTGATGAGTCCCACAGGTCATTTATTGACATGCAGCCTGTAAGTTTCACTTTAGTTTTTCTACTTCAATAATGGTGGATGTTTGTGCTGCTTGACATGCTTGACATCTATGAAGTTAGTTTAGGGTCAGAATCAGAATGTTTGAAAGCAAAAATTGACAAACTCTGAATGTTAAACTAAACCCATAAATGATTTAGTTAAACTGTAAATGTAAAATCAAACCTATAAACAAGAAAACCAAGCAGTAAATGAGAACGTGATCAGGGTTTTTTCAGTTTCTTCTTTTTTTCATGGTTCAATTCATTCTCAGTTCAGTGTTCTTGTTCTTGGTCTACATTTACAGTTTAAGTACAATCACAGTTTGTTATGGTTTGCTATGAATTACCTTCCTAGATAACCTTCCAGTGATTAGAGTTCAGTAGCCAAGTATGTGATTTGGAGCTGATTTTTATGACAGCACTGCCTAATACTCTTAAACAGAGAGGCATGACTGAAGTTACTGGTGGCTAAAGTGGTCTGGTGTTTTATCTACAGCCCTTCTAATTAGCACCACTGATGTTCATGAGGTCCTGTGTCATCTATTCATCAAAAGGATCACTGTTTGTTTTTTTTATCCTAGATTTTTTGCATTTTAAAGCTTGATAACTTTAAATGCCAGTTATATTTCAACACTAAGTGACTGATGTGTAATTCACAGGTTGCGACCAACATGGTTGAGTATTTACAAAGAGACTGATCAACAGATCAACCGTTCCCGGACATTTTGTTCCTTGGGGATGACATGACGACGTGCCAGCCCTTTACCGGTATTTCGGGCCACGTCATCGAAACAGACTCTTCGCCAGTGGCTGTCGATATTTGTTTCATGATGTTTTACACCAAGCACCAAGTGACTCCCCACCCGGGGGTTTCTGTAGCATGCAGTGTATTGTATACTATGTACATTTGTAATTATGCATAATAAGTCATTTTGGCAGAAAAATTGCAAAATGTCATTAAATGCACATTTGATAATTGTCATTTAGACTGTTGTTTTTTGAGTGTGTGGTATATTTTACTATTGAGTTTAATCTCTTCATATGTTTTGTATGTAAAATCTTAATTGCTGAAGTAACAAAGACTGTCAGGTAAATGTAGTGCAATAAAAAGTGCATTAATTCCCTCTGGAATGTGGTGAACTTCTTAATTACAGTACTTGAGTAAATGTACTTATCTACTTTCCACCACTGTTGGTGGGAAACAGTCTAACCTTCTTAGCTACAGTAGTATTAATCATTTGGGAATAGACTGTACCGATCAGCTGGCTGGCAGGCTGAATCAGTTTGTGTTGCCAAGCACTGCTGGAAGTTTCTATATTGGTCGCAATGGGATTAACTTTCTGAAAGTCATCACAAGTTGAAAAACAATAACTGACTCTGAATATGCTCTTCCTCTGTCTTTCTTTCACAAACATGCTCTCACACAGACCCTCCCCTCGGCAACAGCAGCTTGACTCTCGCTCAAGAGATGCTGTCACCAGAGAGTGAAGTTCATCACATTCAGGGAGGCTAAATAGTTTATGCTATACGTTGCATGTCAAGAGTCAGGAATTAGCAACTCATCTTAATTAACACTGGTATTAATAGATTTCACAAGTGAGCTGGAAGGCAGCATGATGCACAGGAGAAAAAAATATTTGGAGACTTGATGATTTCAGTGTGATAAAGGGAGCAGGCAGCTTTAAATTTTTGCTTGATTTTCACACTGTGACTGTCTCTTCGCCTGGAATTTTAACAACCGGGTGTATTTTAATTACACTAACCAATAAGGAGCACTATTTCTGGCAGTTACAAACACCTGTAGAGAGATATGTGAAACCATGGCAACCATACATGTTACCTCCAGCAGAAATGGGTTCAACAACGTGTTTTAAATGCATGCAGTGGTGATACTGAAAGTTGAAGTGCAGTGCTTTACCAGTAATGGGAGAGCTGATATTGTGTGGATATAGTCAGAATGTAAAGCTGGAGTAGAATCAATCCATGTGAAGACTTAAATGGATGGACATCAGATTACTTAACAACCAATTATTTAACTTCCTGAGGTGACAAAGTGTGCAGACATGTAGGATACTGTTGTGATTCAGCGCACTTCACTCACTCTCATATTTTCCCCACAGATCCACTGTTTGGGTGGGTTGTTCACAGACTCCGCTGATGACCACTGAACATGACAAGTGATTCTCATCTGAGCAGCAGTGCGGAGAATGAAAGCGACTTTGAGGCCCCGAGTCCTCCTGCCAACGCAATGCATGTGTCATTCACATCTGCTGCTTCATAGACGGAGAGGGAGACAAGACAGTGAATGTCTGTGAGTTTGACTTGTTTCCACCCTGGTATTACAGGTTTTATTTAACATTTAATGTCTAGTTTCAAACACATTTTTATATACAATCATTTCTCTGAAACATTGCACTGTCTCTATCAGCACCCTAAAGGCAGATTTGTACTATAAGCAGAGAAGAGGAGTCTAAAACAGTAAATTAGGTGTAAGTAAGAAAAGTTCGGAACAATAATTTTACTGCAGAACCTGTTTAAATTGTTATACTGTGACATTTTTAATCAAACAAGACCTAATTACACAGCTGAAATCTTGAGTTTTGACAGCTTGAAATATCTTGCTCAGATCAAGTTAGACTGACTAACTTGATCTGAGTTAGTCCACAGCCTCACCCAGGGAAAAAATGAGTAAGGATTATGAACAACTTCAGGAGGTGCCTTCTGTTCATAAGGGGGATACATATTCTTTATTGTACAGGCTACTATAGGATCCTTCCACAATTAATCTTTTTTGTAGTTGTTGCTGTTGTAAAGAGCCAGTTGAAATCAGCCAAATTGAATACTGTCATATTTTATACTAGTGCATACATACTTTGTCAGTTTCCTCATTTTACTGTTTACTAAGTGTGATTTAGTTACATAACGAGAAGCTGAAACCAGCAAATATTTGTCATTTTGAGAAATGACTGAAACGGTTAATCGATTATCAAAATTGTTGCCAATTAATTTTCTGTAGCTCAACTAGTCAATGAATCAACTATTCATTTTTGCTCTATAATGAAAATAAACTCTGAACATCAGTCACAGCAGCTAATCATATAATGATTCACCCCAAAGTGTATTATAGCATATCCAAAAATCTAAGGTGATTATCATTAATAAAATCTAATTTGGTTAAATACTAACATTGCATATTCCTATATTGCTTAAGTTGTCCTCAATAACATTTTGATAAAAAAATAAATAAACCCACAAATAAATACAACTGAAAAGCAAGGCTAATCTCTTATGTAAAACACTGCTGACCATGACTGGTGAAAAGCATGAATTATACTGACAGGGAGTGTGAGACTGTAAGGACATGCAGAGCTTATAAAACACCATAAACAGACATGCAACAGAACATCTGTTCAGCAGCCGGCGTTTGGTACAGGCAGGTTAGTCAGCTGCAGGCTGACTGACTGATGCTGGATGGGGCCCTGGGTGTACACATCCATATGTCCCTGTCACTAAAGCATGTGAGTCTGGAAGCATTTGGATCCATGCTTAGTCACACCAATGTACAGGTTTACAGTACATGGGAATAAAGGAACAACGCAAGAATTTGCTTTGGGTTTTTTAAACATTATGGATTAGGAATGTCATACTGTAATGTTACTTTTACACTGTCCCGCTTTAGAGGATATAAAATAAAACTGTCATCACTGCAGACATCAAAAAGCTGCTTGCTCACAGTAGTGACAGATTCTGAAGATCCCACTGGACAATGACCCTAAAAATAAACAAGTGTGCTGTACTCAAAGACAAATATATATTAATTTTTCATTCCATTATTTTTGGCATGACAGACAGCAGATACAGAGATTCTGAGTTTACCTTGTCAGAAAAGAAAAATATTTTGTTGATTTCTGCTCAAAATAAGACTATACTGTAAGTTTGAAATAGTGGTGGATCCTTTGTTCAAGTAAAAGTACTTCTGTAGCTGCTCGCGCTGGAGCTAGTTTTAACTCATTTTTATACGGTTGGCTAGTTTCGTCCAACCTAGAGGTCGGGCCCCTCCGAGGAGCTACAAGAAAAATCTGAGGGGTCGTGAGATGATTAATGGGGCAGTAAAGAAGAAAAAATTAAGTTCTGCTACACAATTCTGTTTTCATTTGTTGGTCTTTTCTCTCATCTTCACTTTTTTGTGAAATAACAGATAATTTTACCTATGAGGGCCTTAAAATTCTTACTCACATGAAAGGATATAAACAGGTTTAGGAGGGAAATCTCACTTTGGTGGAACTGAAATCAACTCATAGTCTTCTGAAACGTTTTCCCTCTAAAATATAGCGGAGAAGAGGTAGAAGTAACTCAGACTTTGACAGAAGAAATTCTACTTAGTTGTGGTATTGGCAAACTAGTAAAATGAAACTCCTATCTCTTTTGTTTCAAATGCCTTTAAATGTGAAAACGTTGGAGTGGACACAGTGACCATTAATGGGAATATCCTTTTTTTGATCACTGAGAGGCTCCAAGTTCAAACATCAACATTAAACTCAATAAAAGACGAATCTGACTCATACATTTAACAAAGGATATGAGTGTTTTCTGTGGAAAATAATCCCCAAGTAGTTTTTTCAGGGCAGCTAAACTGGTCCCTGGTGCATTTAAAATTTAGAAACATTTCATGTTCCCTCCCTGCTCTTTGCTAACCGCCGTCCGGTCTCCCCCTAACAGAGCCGAAAAACTAATAGTTGTGTTGCATAAGAGATTATCTTAACTGCTCTTATCTTTTTCTCTGCTGTGGCTTGTAGGAAATCTAATTCTATCATGTAAAAAAAAAAGAAAAACAACCTCTCCTGTGGCTTCATGAAGCAAAGGCCATTATGTCAAGTCAATTTTTATTTATATAGCGCCAAAGCACAGCAGAAGTTGTCTCAAGGCACTTTTATAATACTGATTACAGAGACCCAAATAATCCCAGTATGAGCATTATGCCATGTTTGTGTCACTGTGGAAACAGACTCATGCTACTGAACGTATAGGCATGCAGTATGTTCTGGTGTAGTGTCAGCACTTCTGTAACTTTAGGTGAGGGTTGGAGGGAGTTGTGTAGGTATAACATGACCTTGTTTTGCAGCAGTCACACCACACTACTGCACACCTCTGCTAACAGCAATAGTGAGAATCTGTGAGTCTGACGGATGCTCCACCTTCAAAATGGCTTGGTCAGTGCTGGAAAACAGTTGCTGCATGCAGCTCTCTCTGTGGAGAAGAGTTTGAAATGTGAAATCCTCCGTTTGTCCTGTTTGGTCAAACAGCTGTATGAGTAAACAAGGACTGGCTGCTGCACAGCTATTGATAATTAAGATTTTAAAATTTACGGCTCATCGCTTGAGTTGTATATGCCATTGAGTCTTCTGCAGAGTAAAGTTTAAAGTGAAGTTGGTTTTGTTTTTAGAGTTGCAGCTCCTTTTGGCTTGAGACGTTTTTAAAGAGAAACAATGTTCACTTGCACCCCCTTTTTTACAGCTTACACACATGCACGAATTCAACCAAGTGCAATGTTCACTTCTCAGATTTATTCATGTCAATGGTTTTTAGTCTTTCACAGTAAAATTAAAGAAAGATCAGAGAACAGTTAGAAAAAAAGAACAGATAAGAATAAATAAGATTTATTTATTTATTTATTTATTTCTATTGTTATATCTTGTTACTCATCTGGCAACCGCTCAGATTAATCCCCTATGAGGGATTCCGACCAGGTTGGGAACTTCTGTTTAAGACGAAAACAAACATACAGCCACATTGAATAAATAAGTGGTGAAACAAATGCAGAGGCTTCCATACAGTGCTCAGGAGGGGGTCACTGAGTATTTGGATGAGCTTGAGAATGATGTGAATCATATGCTATGACCTTCACAGTCACCAGATCTCAACCCAACACCTTTTGGAGCATATTAGACAACGCTCGCTGCCACCATCATCAAAACAACCAATGAGAGAAAGGATTTTGAAAGGATGGTTATCATCCCCCCAATAGAGTTCAGAGACTTCAGAAACTATGCCAAGGAGCACTGAAGCTGCTCAATGCTGTTTTTTGATAATTTGGTAGCCCATATGTAACATGTATAGACCTGATGTGATGTCTTGATATGAGCACACATCCAGGGTGAAAGGTTGAGGGATCAGCCTGTGTTCAACTCTTCTCAGATAGAGGGGTGATGTCCATTGTCATACTGGTCAAAACTGACCCCAGCCGGTTGTAAAACAGTGATAAAAACGGTCAAATGTGTTATGAAACTATTACTCAGCAGGATTTTATTACAGGACTAAAACGGCCTGCAGAAAAAAATTGTGAATGTCTGATTTTTATTCACGTTTTTCTTTTTCTTTTTTAGATTTTCTTTAATTTCAGACGGGAATATGACAGTCTCCAAAAAAGAAGGGAGGGGGGAGACAGACAGATAGACAGACAGACATACATAAATGCCGAGACAAAAATGTGACGAAATCTGCAAAAAAAGAGACCGAGATTTACAAAATCTGGTCCTGAGACTATAGTCTTCACCAAATTCCTCTCATGTAATAGATTCCTATGTGTTTATCTAACACACAGCAGCAGCAGCAGCCGCCGGTACGTGCGAGGTGTTATTTGGGTGAGATCTGAGCTGATGTCGAGCAGCCAGAGGCGCACAGGCGTTATGAATCCTCTGTGGTCATGCATGTAGAAAACAGAGGGAGTGAATGTGAAGCAGCCCTTATCAGTGGTAACCATGTGTGCGCAGTGGGCAGCGTGATGGAGCTGCATCCTTGCGCTCGCGGCCGTCGAGGAAAAACAGGCAAACGGTATTGTATCTGTCGCCACACCCATCACATAAAGCCAGACACGGCGCGGTAGCCAGGAAAAAAAGAGCGTTTTAAGTCGGTGACAGCGACATGACAACAGCCGAGGGCTATGGGTGAGCGACAGATGAGTCACACACATCCACCAGCCCCCCCCCCCCCCCCCCCCCCCCCCTCCAGTTTTCATCGCAGATACTGTAAACCTGCAGCATACATAACTGGATGGTACCAATACTGACGAATAGTGCAAAAAAAAAAAAAAAAAAAAAAAAAAAAAAGCAGTGTGGGTGAATGGATGATGGGCGGTGATGGTGCACGTGGGGCCAGTTTAGGAGAGGTATTTAAAGATGTGGACACAGCTCTCTGTCAATGCGCATGATACTGCGGTTCCACTACTACGGCACGCTCCAACTCACCTTGAATCGGCGCACGGCCGCTCTCCTGTCATTCGGGTGCGGGGCGTACAGAGAACCAATACACGCCCCAAAGCCTCAACCAGCAGCCAATCCAATGACAGAAGAGGCGGACCTGTGGCTGCATTCTCACACTTGGTTTCACTATGCGCTCGTAAAACGGCTCCGTCTACTACAAACGCGGCGGTGCAGGTGCTCTGTCTCTTCGGGAGAGGATGCGGATGGAAGGACGGGGGAGGGAAGGGATGAAGGGAAACGCCACGAGGAAAGAAAATAGGATATGAAAAGAGGCTCGTGCTAAGAGACCGTGAGGTGCAAGGTCGAATATGAGAGATTGGTTGAACGGGGCACTTTGCGTGGTAATAGCTGGTCGGCAATAGTACTATGATTTGGTATGTGGCCACTCTGATAGCAAGTGTATTCAGCACCAGAGGAACGGCCGCTCAAGGTGAGTTGAAGTGCAGTATATCTTGTGCCGCACATAGCATATGATTTCTGCTGTCTTCGTGTGCGCTTGGTGCTGCTTTTTGTAATCGCATGACATTTTTTTGTATGTTAGGTTCATATGAACTGTGGGGCTATTTCATTCTAACAAATGGCTGCATATCATATGTCACGTGAAAGTTCAGCCCTGGTTAAATCGTATCAAGGAAACAACAATTGTCTTGAAATGGCCTTGCTCATGTGCATGATAATATCTGAGATGGGATCATTCTTATGCCAGTGATAGAAAGACTAGTGTCCACAATTATTGAGCATGACAAAGATAGCTTGATTGATGTGGCTGTGGGTTAGGCCTGTACTGTGATATCTATGAGGCTCATTTTGTGTGATAAAGCAACGAGTAAATTGGAAAATAACGTTCCCGCTGCTGAGGGGAAATGTGTGCATTGTATCATAGCAAGCAGTCCCATTTGAGTTCTCCAGAGAGGGGTGTGACCGTCTCAGCCCTCAAGATGGAAAAGTAACTAAATAATGCATCACGTGTCAGATAAAATGCACTCTTGGATTTGATAGAGTCCATTGCTGCATGCATGGGATTCATATGCTGAATTTCACATTGCACATGGACAGGGTCTCAGTGTTGTGTGTGATGCACTGAACACATATGAGCTGCAAGGCTCGCCTGGTGCTGATCTAAGTGCTTCATAAACTAGTCATTCCTGGAGCTACAAACTGCACAATATCCCTTTTGTTCATATTTTTTTCTGAGCACTCTGTATTGACCCATGTACTTACTTAACCTTGCTCTTCCACTTATGTCCAGATGAGGGAGACATGTGCCAAGCTGTCGCCTGGTAACTGATCCCAATGACCCCACATACCCAGTCAAAACTGGTCTGCTCACAGGTCTGGCTCCTCCTGTGATGACAGCCACATCCAAGCTAAGCACAATGTGAAAACTTCCTCTAATAATGCAGTGAAACACATTTGATTTAGGCACAGAGCATCTCTCAGTGCGGTCATTGCTTAAAGCACAAATTCTCCATTTTATGAAGGCTTAGATGTGGCTTAATAATATCAATCCAAAGGTGTTGTCTGGTGTCGGCACTGCACTGAAGGTGATTTACTTTCGAATTATAGGCTGCGCCAGAGAGTCACAAATCACAACATATTAAAAATGAGAGCCAGTTTACTTCTTCTATTACAGTGTCCCAGAATATAGTGTTTGATCATAGTCTGGTGCGACACAGAACCACTGAAACGCATGTCAACACCAACTGTGACTTATTTTTCATCTCTTATTGCTAATGATAAAGACAACAAAGCAACCTATCATTAGAATTTAAGGCTTTTTTGACCATATTTAAACTCATGATTGCCAGAAGTCAAATATCTTTTTGTGCAGCATAATCTATTTACAGGTTGTTGTTTGAATACAAAAATATACTATGAAATAAATAAAGCACATTAGAAAATAAGTCACAGTGTCTTAAATCATCAAGATAAAATATCGACTTAAGCTTGACATTTTAGGCCATACATATTAAATATAATAATAAATATATGTTTGCTCTCCATCTGAGAATTAGATGAGAAAACTGATACTACTCTTGTGTTTGCCTGGTCAGTATTAAGTGTGAGCTAGCAGCTAGTTAGCTTAGCTTAGCACAGAGGGTGGAAACGGGGAAACACCTAGCCTGGTTTTGTTTGAATGTACAAAAATCCACCTAGCAGGACCTCTGTATCTCACAAACATGTTTGCTTAAGCCATAAAAACACAAATGTAAAAAACCATAAGTTTTGGTTTTACGGGGTGTTATGTGTCAGAGTATTTCTTGGCCAGGAGCAGTGACTTTCAGGAGTTTTCTTGTCACTGTGACAATGCAGAGCAACCAGCAGAGCCTCCAGGAAATCTCTCCCCACAGCCAATAAGTAGTGCAGCATGTAGCCTCTTGTAGTTTTTTCACTTTGGTTTTTCTAGAGATTAAACAAGCAAAATATAATGTGTTAATTAGTGGGCTTTAGGGTAATAGGTTAATCGGTGGATTTTGATACTTTTAGCCAGAGCAGGACATGGTCCCCCTGTTCCCAGTCTTTGTGCTATGCTAAGCTAACTGGCTGCTGGCTCCATCTTCATATTTACTTTAGTAACTTGAGTAGTATTGATCCGCTCATTTAACTCTCTCCATGAAAGGAAATAAGCGCATTACACAAAATGTCAAACTATTCCTTTAAGAAATGGTAATTAAATAAGCTGCCATTCGCTTACTCTGGTACAAAGCTGCAAATCACATACTTTCCCGTTGGAAACCAAAGGCTAATGATATGCATGTTAGCTGCTGCAGCAGCTGCCCTCTCCATCGAGAGCCAATCTGACCCCATCCTGTTGGATTGGATACAACACTAACAAAATGGTGGTGCACTCCTGGTTTCTACCAATAAGAAAAAACATATTAGAGAAAGTTTGATTGGTTTTCCACAGTCAGACGTGGAGGTAACAGTGCTGATAATATGATTTAATCCATTTTGCTAGTTTTCTTCCGTTAATACATGATGGGAGTTTCAGGTCAGCTTTCCAGGTACCAGCGGACATGAACGAAAACAGATGGTCGAAAACGAACATGCTCCAAAACAAACAAAAGAAAAGTAGGATTAGGGCGGCTCAGCTGAGCTGAGACTGGGCTCCTTTCTCATGAGTGGTATTTTGTTATATTTGCACTTTGCTTAGTTTTAGGCATAAACAAAGGACCAGAGAGTCTACAGCAAAATGTCGACATGAAATACTTTAATTTCCTGTACAAAATTACATTTCAAAATAGCATAAACTTCCTGAAACAGTTAATGTAAAATAATTTGTCCGGGCAATATTTGCACCTATCAACAACTTTAGTGTGGGTCTGGATAATACATAATACATTATGAAATTAGGTTTAACAGTAATCAGTATACTGCACCATTGTGTTTTTATAATGCAGTGCTCCATTAAATACTGTATATGTTTATTGTTATTCAGTAAAGATAAAGAATTTGTTGTTCTAAATAAATCATACTGTTACTACAGAGAAAGTTGTAATACATAATTACTGTATATCAATTTAATTTCAACTGAAAAAAACAAACACCAACAGATGTAACATACTCTGGAAATGACTTATTATTAGGAGAGATGATGTTTTTAATTTTAATGAGCCTCTTCTGAAACTCACGCTGGTCAGAGCGTTGCTGTGTGTGTTTTCTGAAAGTCAGAAAACAAAAATTTTGAAAAACAAAAACAAGAAAACACAAAAATCCTCAAGATATAATTTCGCACAGCTCTGCTTAAATAGTAAAACAATATACTGGCACAATATGTGAGTGTTGTAAGTGGCACAACACAATGGGATGCAGGTCTTGTTCTTCCCATACACTGACTTAAAGTATGATTTAGGGCTGTGGTGGCCATGAAGGTGGCATCATCTGCAAACATGGATAGTTTGAAAATGTGAAGCACATGGGCATTGATGTAAATGGAACAGATGAAGTGGAAGAACACATGTTCCCATAACACTGCATTGACTGGTTGATAAACTCTTTAGACAGAAAATTTTGATAATATTGGAAACGAAAAAGGAGAGAATTTTTTTTTGTTATTTCAGATATGGTTTGCTTGCACTTGTCTGTTTCATGTCATTGTAGATTTAATACCTTTGGGTAATAATAACAAATAATTGCTTCTGAACATAATCATAATGGTAGCACGTCATTCATTAAAAAAAACGTTGCTCAGCTTTTGCGTTAACACACTGCATTGTCAATACAGGCAGGCACATTTTCCTAGAGGATAACTTTGAAATGTAAATAATGCTCTAGTGTTGAAAGAGCCTTTCTCATAGTATTATAAACCACTGTTCACTTTTAAATTTACTTACTTAACTTAAATTGTATAAGTTTAATAATTAAATTATAATTGAACAAGTTATGTGAAAAAAAACATCCAATTACAAAAAATTTAACAACAATATATATATATATATATATATATATATATATAAATATGTATAAGCACATCAGTCAGTGATTGACACATAATTGCTCAGGTATGATCAATCAGTCATAGTAACTGGACAGTCAAGGAAGTTTTCTTGTGCCAAGTGCCCATTGGGGAGGCAGCATATGGTCAGGGAGACTCGAGGGTAGTTCAACAAAGTCAACAGTGACTTGGCAACCAATCAAGGTGAAGCAAGAGGGACGCTGATGGCAATATAGAAGTAATTAAATGTCATTGGCAAGTGTTGGGGAGTGGTATATTTGAAGGACTACTTTCAGTCTGAGTCACTGATGGCAGACCGACTCCTCTTAGGTCCTATGCAAGGACTTGGTGTTTTTTAAGTGTTAGTTGAGCTGGCTTTTGGCCAGATGGTATTCATCTGTAATTCCCTTCTTGTGAGCCGGCTCCTTGATGTTTCACAGGGTCCAGAGCTCCCTCGTGAACCGTGCCTTGGCACACTTGTTCTTGTCACTGGGTTTCCTCTGAAGGCATGTTTCTTCAAAGACAGAGATATATAGAAGCAGACAGGATTGTGAAGGTGTCAAAACTGTCACTCACATATCTGAGGCCTCCCATTAGTGCTGAAGCGGCGTCTGAAAGCCCTCCTACTGTCTCTGCGGGTCCAGTTTCAGATAGATTGGGCTGTCTTTGGTTTTTGTCGGGATGTTGAGACTGTCTGGGACATTCTGTAAGGCTGCTTTCCATGAGATGGTTGAGAAAATGTTTTGACAGCAGTGTTTTAATTTGTCTGACATCTGAAGTGTTTTCAAAAGTTTTAATGATATGAGTAAGGGACATGAGTGCCTTTTCTTTCCACATTCACTTCACTGCAGTTTAACGATGTTTTCATGACTGTTTTTCCATGTTGGTTGAAAACTGAATAGAAATGTCTTTTTTTTTACTCTTGGTAAAGAACAATCAAAAGTCAATTTTGGTGGAATTTCTACTTAAATATGTTCAATGTCAATGAATCATAG